TCAATTTTGCCAAGTTGAAATATATTGTGGACCTTGGTATATTTGTTCTACGTCTTATTTCGGCTGCATTCGTAATCTTGTTGTCAGTCTTCTTGTCAGTCTTCATTTCGTCGCTAAATTAAAAAAAATTTTTTCTCTGACAAAAGTTGACAATTAAAACGATTTAAATTGGCTGATCTATGTGACTTTTAATTTTATCACTGATCGTCCAAAGACACTGTACAATCAAAATAATTTCTCGTGATCATCTAGATCCCCGGACATCACAAACATGCTATCTTCTCTGTCTCTTGAAAAGCAAAGTCGAAAATTTAGATTAATTAAAATTTTTAAGCTTAAATTTGTTAATGTGTTAATACGTTACGAAAAAAATTATTTTTCGATAATTTATTATAAATATTGTAATAAAATATGTTTTTAACAAATATGTATCAAATTTACAAATAGTGTCAATTATTAGAATTAGCAGTTTAATTTTTTTTATATTAAACGTACAGTATATGAGGTTTGTTTAGAAAAGAAATATTTTTTTTTAGTCTAATGCAAATCAAGCGAAAAATCGGAAAGCAAAAGATATATAATTTTTTCTAAGCTATCGACAAAATAATATAAATGCGCTTTTCAATTGATAAAGTTTGAATAAAGTTTGAATAAACAATTATTCTAATCTATAAAAGTTCATCAAAATCTAAAGTAGAAATATTTAATGAAGGCAATGTATTCCAAGCAACTTGAGGTATCCTGGCAATTGTGTTTTGAGAGAGTAAGGATGGTGGCGACGGTGCGGGTGAAATTCCATCTTTAAAAGATCTGACAGAACAAATCTTATCTGGCCGTGACGATCGTTCCTGGCACACATCAATTAACTCCTTATGATTAGAAACGTCATTAAACTCATTTGGATTAGAATAATTCATTGATTCAAAAGTACTAATTGAGTCTGGATTATAATTTTCTTTTTCCAATAAATCATGAATGCGATGAAATTCACAATTGTTCTCCGATTGAGAACAACAATGAAGATCGATTGGGATATCTTCGTTCAAATTAGTTCCTTGAGGAATATGATTATCTTTGACCAATGATACTTCTTGAACACTATGAGGAACATTTCCACCCAATTCAGTTTCTTGCATTGTATGATCCTTAAAAAACGCGTCTCTCAAGTTAGTTTCTTGTATAATATCCTCATTTTCTTTTCGTATCACACAAGGCAAGTGTTTTTCTTGAATTATAAATTCCTCCTTTTCCAATTGTTTATGTCTCATAATTGATGCGTCTTCGTTCATTTTAGTTTTTTGAATCGAATTATCCTTATTTTTCAAGGGTTCTTCTTTGTGAAAGTCAATAATTTCGTTTTCCCATGTATAACTATGAAGCTTATCACTCTCATTTTTATGATTTAAATGCATTTTACTTATTTCGCAATTATTATTGTTGTCTATGATCAAATTGTTTTCTACACTGATGAATTTCCTTGCGTTTTCTTTCTCAACATGGTCCATTTCATTATCATAAAAATCATCTTGCACATTATTGCAACGAGGTTCATCAACGTAATAAGATAAGACATTATAAAAAGATCCCTCAGCTTGATTAGGCAAATTCTTATTTCGAGGTTCTTCCTGGTCAGTGGAATTATTATTGCAAGGTACTTTAACGTGACTAGACATGTTAATAAAACGCGATTGCTCAACTTGATTAGTTACGATATTACAAAAAGATTCCTTATTTGAATTTCCTGGAACTAGCAGTTGTGGGCTGTCTTGTATTGTATCTGACAATCCATTATTCTCCACATTAATGGATCCCCTTCGAATTTTGGAACCACCTTCTAATTCGATGAGTCGATTTATTGCAAAGTTAGATGATTTCTCAACTTGAATTGTTACGTTATTACAAAAAGTTTCCTTATTTTGATTCAAAGAATTTCGTGGAATTGGCAGTTGTGGGCTGTCTTGTATGGTATCTGACAATCCATTATTCTCCACTATAATAGATCCCCTTCGAATTTTGGAGCCAACTTCTAATTCATTATGTCGTTTTATTGCAGAATTAGATGATTTTTCAACTTGAATAGTTATATTATTACAAAAAGATTCATTTGGATTCAACGAATTCCTTGGATCTAAGATTTGTGAATTGTCTTCTAAAAATCCATTACTCTCCTCATTAGTAGATTCCCTTAGAATTTTGGAGTCATCTTCTAATTCGATAAGTTGATTTATTGCAGAGCTAGTTGCAAATTTTGGAGAACTTATAAGGGATGACATTGTAATGAAAGAATCATTTGGTTCGATAGAGAAGTTCGAAAGATGATAGGAATTTTGTAAATCAAACCGGGAAGAAGCAATTGAAGGATAATCGCAATTCATATCATTATCAGAATTTATAGAAACTTTCCCAATAAATTTTGTTGATTTAGATATTTTAGGAGTCTCGTCTTTGTCGGGGGTACTTAAACCATCTATATGTATATTATTGTCCTCAAGATTTGAATTGGACTTTCGAATTGCCGTACTATCGCCATTACCTATTATAAAGAACGTCAATTATTATATGCTATTAACTCTAAAAGAAACAATAATTTCATGCATACCTTGCAATGATTCATTTTTCGAAATACTAAGTTCACTTATTTTTTCAATAACGTCATAGAACTCAGTCAATTGACGTTGATTTTTTAATAATTCATCAATATTCTTTCTTGAGGAACGAATAGATTTTCTTCCATGTTTATTTCTAGATTCAATCTCTTCTACTTTTTCAGGATTTAAATAGTCAAAATACATCGGAATTTTTTTATTACATTTTTGAATTTCTTCCAACTGTTTTGCTTTATTTTTCTTTGACTTGTATTTTCTCAAAGCAATTCTTCCTTTAGATACACGACTTGTTTCAGCGAGAGAAGTAGTTCTTTGTTTTTTCTTATCAATTTCTAAAGGACAGAAGAAATGGGATATTGTTGATTGGTTTAGATAACTTTGTTGCTCACGTGAAGAGAGTCCATTTTCTTCTCTTTCGGTTTTATGTCCAGTAGAATTTATATGTCCACCCCTTTTCTTTGAAATTCGAGTCAAAGAAAAATAAAGCAAAACAGTTGGAAGAAATTCAAAAATGTAATAAAAAAATTCCGATGTATTTTGACTATTTAAATCCTGAAAAAGTAGAAGAGATTGAATCTAGAAATAAACATGGAAGAAAATCTATTCGTTCCTCAAGAAAGAATATTGATGAATTATTAAAAAATCAACGTCAATTGACTGAGTTCTATGACGTTATTGAAAAAATAAGTGAACTTAGTATTTCGAAAAATGAATCATTGCAAGGTATGCATGAAATTATTGTTTCTTTTAGAGTTAATAGCATATAATAATTGACGTTCTTTATAATAGGTAATGGCGATAGTACGGCAATTCGAAAGTCCAATTCAAATCTTGAGGACAATAATATACATATAGATGGTTTAAGTACCCCCGACAAAGACGAGACTCCTAAAATATCTAAATCAACAAAATTTATTGGGAAAGTTTCTATAAATTCTGATAATGATATGAATTGCGATTATCCTTCAATTGCTTCTTCCCGGTTTGATTTACAAAATTCCTATCATCTTTCGAACTTCTCTATCGAACCAAATGATTCTTTCATTACAATGTCATCCCTTATAAGTTCTCCAAAATTTGCAACTAGCTCTGCAATAAATCAACTTATCGAATTAGAAGATGACTCCAAAATTCTAAGGGAATCTACTAATGAGGAGAGTAATGGATTTTTAGAAGACAATTCACAAATCTTAGATCCAAGGAATTCGTTGAATCCAAATGAATCTTTTTGTAATAATATAACTATTCAAGTTGAAAAATCATCTAATTCTGCAATAAAACGACATAATGAATTAGAAGTTGGCTCCAAAATTCGAAGGGGATCTATTATAGTGGAGAATAATGGATTGTCAGATACCATACAAGACAGCCCACAACTGCCAATTCCACGAAATTCTTTGAATCAAAATAAGGAAACTTTTTGTAATAACGTAACAATTCAAGTTGAGAAATCATCTAACTTTGCAATAAATCGACTCATCGAATTAGAAGGTGGTTCCAAAATTCGAAGGGGATCCATTAATGTGGAGAATAATGGATTGTCAGATACAATACAAGACAGCCCACAACTGCTAGTTCCAGGAAATTCAAATAAGGAATCTTTTTGTAATATCGTAACTAATCAAGTTGAGCAATCGCGTTTTATTAACATGTCTAGTCACGTTAAAGTACCTTGCAATAATAATTCCACTGACCAGGAAGAACCTCGAAATAAGAATTTGCCTAATCAAGCTGAGGGATCTTTTTATAATGTCTTATCTTATTACGTTGATGAACCTCGTTGCAATAATGTGCAAGATGATTTTTATGATAATGAAATGGACCATGTTGAGAAAGAAAACGCAAGGAAATTCATCAGTGTAGAAAACAATTTGATCATAGACAACAATAATAATTGCGAAATAAGTAAAATGCATTTAAATCATAAAAATGAGAGTGATAAGCTTCATAGTTATACATGGGAAAACGAAATTATTGACTTTCACAAAGAAGAACCCTTGAAAAATAAGGATAATTCGATTCAAAAAACTAAAATGAACGAAGACGCATCAATTATGAGACATAAACAATTGGAAAAGGAGGAATTTATAATTCAAGAAAAACACTTGCCTTGTGTGATACGAAAAGAAAATGAGGATATTATACAAGAAACTAACTTGAGAGACGCGTTTTTTAAGGATCATACAATGCAAGAAACTGAATTGGGTGGAAATGTTCCTCATAGTGTTCAAGAAGTATCATTGGTCAAAGATAATCATATTCCTCAAGGAACTAATTTGAACGAAGATATCCCAATCGATCTTCATTGTTGTTCTCAATCGGAGAACAATTGTGAATTTCATCGCATTCATGATTTATTGGAAAAAGAAAATTATAATCCAGACTCAATTAGTACTTTTGAATCAATGAATTATTCTAATCCAAATGAGTTTAATGACGTTTCTAATCATAAGGAGTTAATTGATGTGTGCCAGGAACGATCGTCACGGCCAGATAAGATTTGTTCTGTCAGATCTTTTAAAGATGGAATTTCACCCGCACCGTCGCCACCATCCTTACTCTCTCAAAACACAATTGCCAGGATACCTCAAGTTGCTTGGAATACATTGCCTTCATTAAATATTTCTACTTTAGATTTTGATGAACTTTTATAGATTAGAATAATTGTTTATTCAAACTTTATTCAAACTTTATCAATTGAAAAGCGCATTTATATTATTTTGTCGATAGCTTAGAAAAAATTATATATCTTTTGCTTTCCGATTTTTCGCTTGATTTGCATTAGACTAAAAAAAAATATTTCTTTTCTAAACAAACCTCATATACTGTACGTTTAATATAAAAAAAATTAAACTGCTAATTCTAATAATTGACACTATTTGTAAATTTGATACATATTTGTTAAAAACATATTTTATTACAATATTTATAATAAATTATCGAAAAATAATTTTTTTCGTAACGTATTAACACATTAACAAATTTAAGCTTAAAAATTTTAATTAATCTAAATTTTCGACTTTGCTTTTCAAGAGACAGAGAAGATAGCATGTTTGTGATGTCCGGGGATCTAGATGATCACGAGAAATTATTTTGATTGTACAGTGTCTTTGGACGATCAGTGATAAAATTAAAAGTCACATAGATCAGCCAATTTAAATCGTTTTAATTGTCAACTTTTGTCAGAGAAAAAATTTTTTTTAATTTAGCGACGAAATGAAGACTGACAAGAAGACTGACAACAAGATTACGAATGCAGCCGAAATAAGACGTAGAACAAATATACCAAGGTCCACAATATATTTCAACTTGGCAAAATTGA